AAAGCGCGAGAAAAGGGTGCGTGACATTTTTGGTTTTGAACTGCGCTCACCTGGCGATGAGTAATTGCTGCTGCTGCTTGAACGCCTTTTTACTGTTAAAATGAAATTAAACTGCGGCCGCAGCTTGTGCCATTCGTCCTTTGGAATCGTCTTTGTCGTCGCTCATTAATGTGTAACTTCTTAGACGCCCCCCCTCCTTCCCCGCCCCCCTCCTCCCGGCTCTTTGAATGTCATTTTATGGACAGAATCGCGCATTTATGCCCGTTATTTAGCGTTTATTGCTTTGTGGATCTCGGAATCCAGTTGTTTGCGTCTCTTGCTTGCCCCCTTCCAGCTCCTCTACATTCGTCCTCATTCGCTGTCACTTTCTGTTTCTCCAAATTTTCCTCTCAGTTATTTATTTTTGTCCACTTATCAAACCAGGATTATGTACACGCCGTGTTTTTGGTGAAGAAAAAAAGGATATCCTTGAACAGCTCTTATATATCATTTATTTATGTTATTTTACATTACTTATAACCTTCATAAGCCCTTATATATTGCTATGCTTTATATACACATATATATTCTTCGTTTAGTGCCAAAAAACCGTTCAGGAAATCCAAGAGGAAACTTTTATTTCAAAGCATTTTTCTTATTTGAACAGATTGTTTGGCCGGCCTACTTCTTTCCTTCGTATTGCCTAAAACTAGCTGTAAAAATTGATTTTGTTTCAGCTGATAACACAGACTTGGATATAAGTGAAGAAATGGAGGAGATCCGGGAGCTGCTCTATGAACTCATCAAAACAAACTTCTCGTCCGGTGTGATGGTGGAACATTTAGCGAAAATTTACAAAGAAAGGTTCTTCTTTTTCTCGATAATTGTTTTGTGTTTGCTAAAATGTGTATAAAAATTTTGAAAATTTGCTCAGTAATTTGAGCTAATTAGATTAATTTGTTTTTTTTTAAATTGATATTTTGACCATTTTGTACAATTAATTTTATTATTCTAGGAGAATCGTCAAAAAATAACCAAATAATGATGCTTCAGGACAAAGTTTAAAAAAAACATAGCTCTTGAAATTGAAATAATTGTGTTTGATCATTTGATCAGTTGTTTTTTCATCGTCTCTTTTCTTCCCATCATTGATGTAGCTGACAGTTGCGTCGTTCTTCTCTGGTTTGGGCATCCTTCGTCCACGTAATTTCACATTGACCTTCTGGAGGTCCTTCCAAGTACTGCGGCGGCTTCGTGCCTGTTCTTTTTCTCGTCTGGTTTTTTTTGTAAGAGTTTTTCTGCCATTTGCTGCATAAATTTCGTCACTGATATTTCATGTGTCACTCCGTTGCCACTTTCACATTACTCAGACGCATGATTCATCACCGAGTGAATAATCATTGCCTTCTTTGCTTTCCATCGTTGTGAGAGACCTGCCGCCGCAAACTTCTTTCGATGCTTTCTTTAGCATTCTCTGTTGCGAGAACATTTTTACAGCTATGAGACACGCGGCCTGGGGCCACCTCTTCCGAGCAATTGGCTGGATCATGTGAGAGTTGCTGAGGAATTTGAAGTGGTGATTCGTGGCCCAATTGTGATGGTTTACACGAGGCAGCGTGAAGCACCTCCACCAATCATCGAGCCGCCGCGCAGTTCTTTGAGTAAGTTTTTGTTATTATGCGTGCAACAACTTGTTCACAACTTTCAATTTGAGAACCATAAAAGCTAAAAAGCTGAAAATTTAGGGGAACCTCCCCCACCCACGTGTGACCCAGTAATTTTAAATTCAGCTTCCCCGTGTCCGCGAGTAATCCGCACGACCCATAAAACTTTGGTGAGAAAAATTATCTCGGGAAGCACTGAACCTAGGAAGTTGAAATTTTAGCGTGGCATCCTCTGCCCAAGTTCAACTCCGCAAATTTTTAACGTCCGCGTGGAAATTTTAACGATAAGAATCATCTCGAGAGTCAGAAGTGCTGAGGGACTGAAAATTTCAAGAGGGGGTCTTCACAAACTTGAATTCAGTTCCTAAGTATGCCGAGGTCTCATGTATGATCACGTGGAAGTTTTGTCTCAAAGATTATTCGAGATCCAGAAAATTAGGAGATTGAAATTTTGAGAGGATATTCACCACTCGAGGATTCACGTGGCGGTCCGCAAAATTTTTAACTATTTTTCAGCGTTTCAGCTATTTTTACACAGACTAAAGTACAATGCAGTGAAAATGATTAACGGGCATTCGTTCGGTGGACGGAATTGCACAAAACGTGTGATCGCACCGGCTATTCTGATGCACCCTGTTATTTATTTTATGCTTTGTGTCGATGTTATCTGTCGTATTCTGATCCTTCTTTTGCGCTAGAGTCCACGGTCCTGAACACTCGATTTAATGAAGTATAGCATGTTCCAGCTGAGACGCTTAGGATTAGTGTCTGGATGACCAACTAGTGCTAGAATACGCATTGTTTTCCGCTGCTAAATGTACAAGGGCCTCTTAGTTTGGGATGAGGGAAGAATCGATGAAAGTTTTAGAAAATAGTATCTTCAGGCTGTGTAGTTGCAAATTTTGGCGATCTGTGATTTGACCCTCAACGGGATCGTTTTCAAATGACCGAATTCGTTAAAAAAAAAAAGCGCTTCTTATCACTGTTCTTTTATATCTCATGAAAAAAGAAAACATAACATCAGACTTTCTTCACTGTTTCACTTCCTTATCAAAAAAGTCAACGGTTTTCTCGCTGTTCGCCAGAGAGCAGTTTAGTCTGCTGGTATTTCTGACATGCATATTCCGACAAAGTAAACTAGGCATATTTTATTTAAGTTGTGGTGTCAATGTTACTTTTTTTTTTCATTCCATGCTCGTTTCGAACAAGTTTTGCCAGCTGCACAACAATAAAACTATAGCTAATTAGAACATTACGACACATTGACCTCATTTCGGTCCTTTATTGATTTCATCATTAAAGCATGTGACCACTGTTCTTGAACGGCTTTGGCTACATGAAGTCAAATGATAAGGACCTGTAAACTGAAAGATGGAGAAGTTGCCAGCTGCATGAACGGCGAGAAAAGAAACACGACGATGAAGCAGATGTGATCAAAGTATCGGAGCAGTGTTCGACTGTTCAAGAAAGGAGTTTTACAGATATCGCTAAAAATCTGCCATCGCCACAAGCAAAGGAAACGGCGCGTATAAGGCTTACTGATCGAGAACTTGCGCAACAGGTAATGTATGATGAAAATAGATCGCATTATTAAATTGAACTGAATTGATGAGGAAAATTCAAATTCACAGATTAACGCAACAAGTTGCTACGGAAAGTCTTTTGTCTTTTTTTTTGGTACTATTGAGGAGGACAGAGCTGCGATTACCGCTGTTTTATCATTTTCAAGCTATGCTTTTTATTTGGAATGAGTCAGAATTTTGTATAATGAGGGAAAAGAAGGCCATATACCCGGAGAGGAAAGGATAGAAAATTTCCATTTTTTCTCAAAAAGCGACGTTCTTGAGCGTTTCTTCTCGCTGTGCTTCTGTGATGGTGCCTTTATCAACAGCAATAAATCGGCAACTTTGACTTTTTGCCTCTTATTTGGAGAGCAGCTATACTGTCTGTGGCAGTATCGTATTACTTTTAAAACGAGTGATGAAATCACGAAGTTGTTTCTGGACAGTTATGGACCAGTGGCTATGCAAGTAGCTTCATTTCACATGTAAAAGCATGAATTTTGTATTTCGTTGCATTCTCTCGCATTTTCTGTCAAATTGCTCTGTTCTGATAATTTCAGATGAAATCGGTGCTATCGTTTGAGCCGATTGTTTGTCCGTCAACGGTCAGCGTTGTTGTGATGAAATGTGATGAGAACTCGTCCGATATCTTTATACAGCTGGCTGGCACGCGAAACAACTTCGAGCTGCTACGATCCGCAATGGATTCTCACTACGAGGAGCAGTCTCTCGGGGAACCAGTAGCTGAACCTGAAATTGGTGGTGTGTATGCCGTGAGAGACGCAGACGGGCACTGGTACAGAGCACTGCTTAAAGTAGGTTTTTATTGTATAATGCCCTAGATCTGCTGGATTTTCGAAATGAAGCCCTTGACGGCAAGCCCGAATCTGCCCTACTATTCTAGTTCACCCCTCTGGATGTGCGAAGAAGATGGCTTTGTTTCATTCGAAATTTTCCTCCTTGTGATTGCAGATTCATTATTATTCGTTGATTTTAACTCATTCAGTGCACTTTTTGGAATAACCTCCCTCTTAATGGAACGAATTCCGTCTTAACTTATTTTTGACTCCTTTTGTAAGAGCAGTCATACTGGACAGACCGAGCTTAGGAGTTTTACTGTGTTTTACAAAGGTGCAGATCAGGAAAAATGCCGGCGTCTATCAAAAAGTATCACCTGTCTTTGTTTTCTCTGTACTCAGTTCTTATGTTTTCCACTAATTTCCCTGCTGATTTTAGCGGCAATTAGCCTTGCTTTAATTATCAAAAATTTGTACTTCCTCTCATATCCATGATCTGTATTGTTGTGGCTTTGAATAGGTTGCAGAAAGTTTCATACTACTGGATAACGGTCGAGTGGTGCCAGTGAAGGATGCAACAGTACGACGTCTACGAGCCGAATATGCACTTCCACGGATCTATCCCATCTATGCCTTCATTGTTACGTTGGATAAAAACCACGACAATGCCTCATCGTTGTGCCTTTTTCGAACTGCCTGCCATACACAGCTCCCATTGCCGGTATGTTAGCTTTGCTGATATCAAAAAATTGTTGTATTAGTCGAGGACGAGGCAGTTGGAACTGATAACCGATAAAATCTTGGCTTAATGCAAACTTAGCTTTCTCTTCTATCACGCTTCCACCAGTTAGGCTTCGAAGGTCAACCTGGTTGCTGCAATCTGCTTAATCAGAAAATAATCTTTTGTAATGAGTGCTGTCCCGCTCCTGACCAGTGTTTTTCAAAGCAGAAAAGTCAGTTAGCATTCTTTATTGCCTTGCTCAATCCCACCAGCACTAGTAATTGAATTTCAGCTACGATTTATATCGGAATATATTGAAAATGGCTTAACAAAGTATATTGTTCAAAGTTCCAGTATTTGGATTAAAGATCGAAAGGAGCAAGAGCAGTAAGTTGTACACATTGTATTGGAAGAACAACTCAAAAAGTTAGGGGCATTTTTTTTTGTTAATGAAAGCCGTCATTTACTCTTTCCTGTGGTTTAGGTTTCCTTTTCTTATAGTTCAAGTGGTTTGTTTTTGAGTAATATTTGTTGTACAGTATGCAAATTTCATGCAGTTTTATAATTTGCGTCATTTTATGTATTTTGATAACTTGCATAATCTGCAGTAACAAGAGATGGCGTCTTTGTGTCCGTAAGTATCATCGTGGCCTGGGAGTGACAGTAACCGTGGTGATCCGTATCATAGTTTTGTTCGAAACGGCAAAATTTCTGCCAGATCCTTCTGCCGGGGCAATCCACTGAGTGGAGTCATTCTTCAGGTGAAATGAAGCGGATATCAGGATATCTAGCAAGCTTGCTACCAGGCAACGCAGCACTGGGGTCATGGCAAATGGGAAGTTCTAAGCTATGAAACGGGAAGACCGGATCCTGAATTACAATTGATCCAAGTATTAAGTGGTATGAAACAAGATGATGTCACATGCACTACGGAGTAGTCGGGGCATTGTTCGGGAAGGTGGTGAGGAGTTGTAGAAGAGCGTGGATGGAGAGAACGGATTGTCTATAAGGCCACTTGAAAAACTCAACTTGAGCAGTACTCCTCATCGAGCCGATTTTACTTCCCTTAATCATCGGAACAATATCCTCTGTGTTTCCTGTTTAAGAAAAATGAGGGTAGTGGAAATCGCGATTTGCAGGAATGTAATCAAAGTGATGCCGGTGTCACCGCAATATTCGGTGCCACCAGCTGGAGGAGTGGAATTGGTTGCTATGGAGCTCAGTGATATGCCGAAAAAGCGTTTTGCTGCGCATATTCTGGCCGTCTTCGATGCCGATAACATCAGCTTACGACAACGATCGCTGGTAATATCAATTACTCCGCATTCAAGATCTTTAAGATGTTCCGTTGCACGCTGCAACAGTCACTTTGCTGACGTTTGTTAGATCTAAAACCAAACGCAGACCTTTTGATGTTTGAACGGTTCATTGCTGAAACATCGGTTAATTTTGTGCGCGTTGCTATTTATTTTTTCATGGCACCTTGATATCTTATAAAATAATAACTAGAAATAATGAATGCACTCGTCCAACGTAAAAATGCTACTGTAGCACGCATATAATGTGTTGCTAAGAGACAAATGAGGGTGGCTGAATGAGGCGAAATTAAAAAAAAAAAGAGTAGGTTTTTGCCCCATGCAATGCGCTGTTACCAATATCAATAAAAAGGGAATGAGGGTAAAATTTGCAGGATCCAATACCAGACTATATAGTGGGTGCGGTGAAACGAGATTCGCTAACGCAGTCCTCGCCACCGCCATTCAGTGAATTGGTACCCGGACGTTTCTATGCAGCAAAATTGCATCCCGATTCGAACTGGGAACGCGTGCAGCTGCTTGGCCCGAGCACCGTTGATGCCGATTGCTTTCGTGTTTATGCAGTGGACATTGGCCTATACGGTATCGCGAGGAAGCCAAATATTCGTCATCTTAAAATTCCAAACGGACTGCGGAAAATTTTAATGGCAAAGTGCAAAGTAGGCTTATTGTTTGGGATTTTTTTCATCGGAGAGAGGAAAGAAAGAGAGGGAGAAGTCCTGTGACTTTTCAGTGCTCATAATAATACTGAAAATCGGATTGCACAAATCGTATTGCACTTCAATGGCAAAAAAACTTTTCAACGCTTAGGCATCCGTAGCTTCGTACGCTCGCGTCCGGTCTATTTGACTGAAAGATTTTTGCAGTTGTAGTGCACTGACAATGAAGCATTTGACGGTCGTGTTCGGGAAAAACTGCAACATCCAAAAAACTGCTCATGATTTGACAGTTATGCATAAGTACACCTCGTTCAAAGTGCTGCTACATGCATTTTTTCTTTATCATGTCAAGATATATGTCTGTGTTTGTAGTACGTTTTTTGCTGCCCTTTTATGCACTTTTTGCTGTGCAGCTCTGTAGCACTGCTACAGCCAGCAAAAACGCATATTATCGAACGGCTGTGTGTGTGTGTGTGGAAGGGAGTGCATTTTGTCACCCACTTTCATCTCAGCAACCAGGAAAGCTGGGAGGCTGAAATTTTCGATATATGTTCCTACCCGTGTGCCACCCTCCCATTTTAAGATCTTCCGTCACACGCGCCTAAACTCCGCGTACGGACCCCTCAAAAAAATATGTAGATTTCTTTGGCAGGAACCGATTTCGCGAACCAGGCAAGGTACAAAACTGAAACTTTACAAGAGTGTTCTTTGTGTACGTGCGAGATAAAGATTTCAAATTCAGCTATCAGAAACGAGTGCGTTTTGCAGCGAACAACTGCCCTCACCCAAATATAAATGAACATTAGTTCATTTGCATACTTGAACTTTTTCACAAACG